GGTTGTACATTAGGTTGTACTTAAAGGATCAGGAATTAAGTTACTGTGCATTTTAGACGTTAAACATGGAATTGTGTATTTCTTATTTGGTACCCATCTATTTCAGAGGATAATTGAAGAATCATTGAAGATGGAAATGGAAAAAGAAATCGAAATGAGTATTCAAGAAATGAAAGAGAAATCTAAGTCTGGTGGTGGTGGAAGTCCTTTAGAGAAGTACATGAAAATCCTCCAGCAGGATCAAGGCCAGGACACGGCAGATAAGGTGCCAGTGCCGTGGGCCGGCGTCTGGGGTGGGGCTGCTAAGGGATTCTGTGCTTTATTTGACAACCTTGGGGTAAGAATATGCCTTCTTCTTTGCAGACAAAAAGGTAAAAACCATAGCAACTCCAAAGATCAGAGGGAGCTTCAAGCTTTTTAAATATCTTAACACTCCTGACAAAATGTCCTCACTTTTGCTTTGGTAAAAAATTGAAGAAATTTTGTCAAAGTTGATAAAAGTTGGAGTGTCTCTCATTTTAAGAACAAGAAATAAGTATAATGAAAGCCCTGTGAATGAATAACAAATTCATTAGTACTATTTGAGACACTAATATTTTATATAAGTCTGCAGTACCATAGGTATTGAGAATACATTCCAAGTAATGAATTCTGATGTTTTTTCTAAACATCATGTTTAAAAGTCGCTGCTTTTTTAGACTTTTAAATTACATGCATATTTCAAAAATATAGAATTAATACGTATCTAATTACAGAATTCTTCTTTTCCCCGCTTTGTGTCAGAGTTCAAAAAAGCTGGTCAGAGAGGACTCCCAAGTGGACACGCTGCCACCTAGTGACAAAGATGAAAGGTACGGTGTCCCCAGCATTGTGTTCTTACACAAACCATGATCATACCGCTGCTTTTCCTAGCCGGGGAGACGTTCAGATACTTGAGTCTGCCTGTAAGAAACAGAATCAGTCCAAATGACTGCCTTCCAAAAATAAAAAATCTGCATTTTTTTAGCTTGTGAAATTGCTATCCATAAAAAGAGGAAGCAAGGCCAGAAACCCCACAGGGAAGGAAAAACGTTGTAAAGATCCCTGAGTAAGTTTGACAAGCAGTTAACAAATGTTTAAATTTTGTCTTTCCCTCATTTAGTTTCACAGGTTTTTCTCAGGAGGAACCAGATGACTTCTGGTAACCATGTTTGCTACCCAGCTTCGTACACAGATAAAGTAACTAAAGGCCTGTGAGTTCTCTGTAATAAGACAAAATTCTCAATAAAAATTCACTTGCAATCCAGTGTGATTTTTTTTCCATAACTGTAGTTGGTGCTATAGTGTGTAAGTGAAAAATAATCTATTCACGTGACACCTGTACAGAGTTCTCATTCTTAGGCCTTCCATTACGCTAGAAAGAGCTGCTATTTTTTTTTCCCCATTTTTGTCTTAGGTTATATTTACTTGAAAACAGATCTTATGGGTCAAGCTCTAGGCCTGCAGTTTTGGAAGTTTCAGCAGTGTTCCTTCCTCTGCAGGGTTGGGCGACCACCGGTCAAACAAGAGGCCGTCTTCCCCAGCGCTCTCCTGATAGTCCCTGAAAATCAAGACATAGGTTTTTCTATCTTAGGTTCTAGAAATAGTGTGATGCCACCTCTGGTCTTTACTTTTGACATCTTTTTCTTGAAAATCAATACAAACCTTTCCTAGATGGTGATGAAAAAAAAGGTAATATTTATTGAGTGCTTGCTCTGTGCCAGGTAAAATTTAATTTGTACACTCACTCCAGTGTCTTGAATGTGGGAGCATCTTGGAAAAGGTCTGTAATCACCCTGCCAGTGTAGTCATCAAAAAGCGCAGAGAACTGCTCTGAAGGTTGTGTATATACACCACATCTTCTTTATTCATTGCTTTGATGGACACTGAGGCTGTCTCTGTGTCTTGGCTATTGTGAATAATGTTGCAGTGAACATAGCGGTGCAGACCTCTCTTCTAGATCATGGTTTCACTTACTTTTTTGTATATATATTTTTATTGAAGTATAGTCAGTTTACAATGTTGTGTCAGTTTCTGGTGTACAGCATAACGCTGCAGTCATACGTGAATGTACATATATGCGTTTTCATACTCTCTTTCTCCATAGGTTACCACAAGATATTGAATATAGTTCCCTGTGGTATACAGTATGAACTTATTTATCTATTTTATATATATATATTATTTAGTATCTACAAATCTGGAATTCCCAATTTATCCCTTCCCATCCCCTTCCCCCACTGGTAACTATAAGTTTGTTTTCTATGTCTGTGGGTCACTTTCTGTTTTGTAAATAAGTTTGTCCTTTTCTTTCTCTTTCTGACTTACTTCACTTAGAATGACAATCTCTAGGTCCATCTATGCTGCTGCAAATGGCATTATTTTATTTTTTATGTTTGAGTAGTATTCCTTTATATAAATATAGCATAGCTTTATCCAGTTATCTGTCGATGGACATTTAGGTTGTTTCCATGTCTTGGCTATTGTAAATGGTGCTGCTCTGAACATTGGGGTGCAGGTGTCTCTTTAAATTAAGGTTCCCTCTGGATATATGCCCAGGAGTGGAATTGCTGGATCATAGGGTAAGCCTATTTTTAGTCTTTTGAGGAATCTCCATACTGTTTTCTATAACGGCTGCACCAAACTGCACTCCCACCAGCAGTGTAGGGGGAGCTCCCTTTTCTCCACAGCCCCTCCAGCATCTATCGTTCATGGACTTTTGAATGATGGCCATTCTGACTGACGTGAGGTGATACCTCATTGTACTTTTGATTTGCAATTCTCTGATAATTAGTGGTATTGAGCATTTTTTCACGTACCTATCGGCCATTTGTATGTCTTCATTGGAAAATTGCCGGTTTAGGTCTTCTGCCCATTTTTGGATTGGGTTGTTTGGTTTTTTGTTATCAAGTTGTACAGGCTGTTTATATATTCTGAAAATTAATCCCTTGTCAGTGACATCATTTGCAAATATTTTCTCCCATTCTGTAGATTAACTTTTCATTTTGTTGATTATTTCCTTTCCTGTGCAGAAGCATTTTAATTTGATTTACTTGGGGGTTTTTTGTTAATTTTTAAATTTAGCTTGCTTATTTTTGCTATTGGTGTCAAAAAAAATTACTGTCAAGACCAATGTCAAGGAATTTACTCCCTGTTTTATTCTGTGCATTTTATGGTTTTAGGTGTTATGTTCAAGGGTTTAATCTATTTTGAGTTGATTTTTGTGTATGGTGTAAGATAGGGGTCAAGTTTCATTCTTTAGCATGTGCCTGTCCAATTTTCCCAACACCACTTAATTGACGAGACTATTCTTTCCCCATTGTATGTTCTTGGCTCCTTTGTTGGAAATTAATTGACCATGTAGGCATGGGTTTATTTCTGGACTCTCCATTCTGTTAACATTGATCTGTGTGTCTGTGTTTATGCCACTACCATACTATTTTTATTACTGTAGCTTTATAATACAGCTTAAAGTCAGGAAGTATCATACTTCCAACTATGGTTTTTCTTTTCTTTTTTTTTTTAAATTGAAATATAGTCAGTTTATAATGTTTTGTCAATTTCTGGTGTACAGCATAGTAGTTCAGTCATGCATATATACATGTATTCATTCAACTATGTTTTTTCTTAAAATCACTTTAGCTACATGGGGTTTTATTTATTTGACTTTCTGGTTCCATACAGATTTTAGGATTATTTTTTATACTTTTGTGAAAAATGCCTTTTGAATTTTGATGGAGATTGCATTGAATCTGTAGATTGCTTTGGAAAGAATTGACATTTTAATAGTATTCTTCCAATCTATGAGCATGGAATATCTTTACATTTATGTGTGTCTTCAATTTCTTTCATTGTTGTCTTTCAGTTTTCAGTGTACAGATCTTTCTTCTCCCTGGTTAAATTTATTTCTAAGTATTCTTTTTGATGCAATCTAAGCGGTATATTTTAATTTTTCTTTCTGATAGTTCATCGTTAATGTTGATTGCTTAAGTGCTCTGGCTAAGTCTTCAAGTACTAAGTTGAATATAAGTGGCAAGAGTACACAGCCTTGTCCTATTCCTGATGTTAGAGGAAAAGCTTTCAGCTTCTCACTGTTGAGTATGATGTTAGCTGTGGGCTTGTCATATGTGGCCTTTCTTGTGTTGAAGCACATTCCTTCTATACCCAGTTTGTTGAGAGTTTTTATCATGAGAGGATCTTGAATGGTGTCAAATGCTTATTCATCTAATGTGGCAATCATGTTATTTTTATCCTTCATTTTGTGAATGTGGTATCTCACATTGATTTGCCAGTGTTTTTTTTTTAAATGGAAGTATAGTCAGTTACAGTGTGTCAGTGTCTGGTGTACAGCACAATGCCCCAGTCATGCATGTACATACATATATTTGTTTTCATATTCTTTTTCATTAAAGGTTATTATAAGATATTGAACATAGTTCCCTATGCTATAGAAAAACTTTAAAAAAATATTTTTATAGTTGCTAACATTTGTAAATCTCAAACTCTCAACTTTATCCCTTCCCACCCCCTTTCCCTTGTAACCATAAGATTGTTTACTATGTCTGTGAATTTGTTTCTGTTTTGTAGATGAGCTCATAATGTTCTTTTTTTTAAGATTCCACATATGAGTGATATCGTATGATTTTTTTTTCTCTTTCTGGCTTACTTCACTTAGAATGACATTTTCCAGGTACATCCATGTTGCTGCAAATGGCATTATTTTATTCTTTTTTATGGCTGAGTAGTATTCCATTGTATAAATATACCACAACTTCTTTATCCAGTCATCTGTCAGTGGACATTTAGGTTGCTTCCATGTCTTGGCTATTGTATATAGTGCTGCTATGAACAGTGGGGTGCATGTATCTATCTAATTAGAGTTCTCTCCAGATATATGCCCAGAATTGGGATTGCTGGATCATACGTTAAGTCTGTTTTTAGTTTTTTGAGGAATCTCCATACAGTTTTCAATAACGGCTGCACCAAACTACATTCCCACCAGCATTGTAGGAGGGTTCCCTTTTTTCCACAGCCTCTCCAGCATTTATTGTTCATCAACTTTTGAATGATGGCCGTTCTGACTGGTGTGAGGAGATACCTCATTGTAGTTTTCATTTGCATTTCTCTAATAATTAACGGTATTGAACATTTTTTCATGTGCCTATTAACCATTTGTATGTCTTCTTTGGAGAATTGCCTGTTTAGGTGTTCTGTCCATTTTTGGATTGGGTTGTTTGTTTTTATGTTAAGTTGTGTGAACTGTTTATATATTCTGGAAATTGATCCCTTGTCCGTCACATCATTTGCAAATGTTTTCTCCCATTCCGTAGATGGTTGTTTTATTTTACTTATGGTTTCCTTTGCTGTTGATTTGCCAGTGTTGAACCATACCTGCATCACTGGACAAAATCTCATTTGATCATGATGTGTGATCTTTCTAAGGTACTGTTGAAATCTGTTTGCTCATGTCTTGTTGAGGGTTTTTGCATCTCTGTTCATCAAGCTTATTGGCCTGTAATTTTCTTATAGTGTCCTTCTCTAATTTGTGTATTGGGTTGATGCTAGCCTTGTAAGATGAGTTTGGAAGTATTCCCTCCTCTTCTCTCTTTTTTAGAGGATGTTGAGAAGAACTGGAGTTAACCGTTTAAATATTTAATAGAATTCACCAGTGAAGCCACTTGGTCTTTTTTTGTTGGGAGATTTTTCATTACTGATTCAATCTCCTTACTAGTAATTTGTACCTCCAAATGTTCTATTTCTTCATGATTCAGTTTTGGAAGGTTGTATGTTTCTAGGAGTGTATCCATTTCTGCTAAGTTGTCCAGTATTTGGCATGTAATTCTTCACCAAAGCCTCATGATCCTGTGTATTTGTGTGATATCAGCTGTAATGTCTCTTTTTTTCATTTCTACTTTTGAGTACTCTTTTTTCCTTGGTTAATGTAGCTAAAGTCTTGTCAGTTTTGTTTCTTATTTTAAAAAACCAGCTTAGTTTCATTGGTCTTTTCTATTGTCTTTTTTAGACTCAACTTTCTTTACACTCTGATCTGTATTTTCTTCCCATTACTAACTTTGGGCTTCGTTATTTCTCTAGTTCCTTGAGGTGTAAGCTTAGGTTGTGTATTTAAGATCTTTCTAGTTTCTTATTGTAGGCAGTTACTGCTCTAAACTGTGCTATTAGAATTGTTTTTGCTGCATCCCATAAGTTTTGGTATGTTGTTTCCATGTTCATTTGACTCAAGATGTTTATTGATTTATCTTGCTTTCC